GAATCTTGAGGGACCACAACGGCTTGTGGTATAAGATTAGACCGGCGACTAGAAAGAAGGGAGTTTATCAACAAGTGTCTCTGGTTAGCAAGTGACACAAGCCCCTACATACTTACCGTTACGCGACAATCTGGTCCAGATTAGCAATAGACTCGCCGTGTACCGATAACACTGTATTGAGTTGTGTATCTGCTAATTTTGTGTTGTTGAGTTTTGGTAGAAGTGAGTTGCTGTTTGTATTGAATATTTTCTTTGAATTCAAGTTTGTGGTTGTATCGAAAGTGTTGTTTGCAGTTGTACTTGTTGATATGTGCTGCTGTGCTTGTGATTCTTCATTGCTGTAGTTGAAGTTTGAGTCTGACCATATTAATATTGTTTCGAGCTGTTGTGTTGTTAGAGGTGAATTGTTAAGTTCATCGGTTTGTATGTTGCTTGTGGTATTTGTATTTGTATTTTCATTATTGTTGTAGTTGCTGTATGCATTACCCATAATTATTATTAATTGTTGTTGTTTTTTGTTGAGGTCTCTACTAGTGTATCCATTGTTGAGAAATTTTAGTTCATTTTGTTTTGCATTCTGTCAATGGAGGAGAAGAGTTGTGTCTGAGTATTTCTGAGGTCTTAGAAGCTGTTATCAGAAGTTGTTTGTATGTTGTTAAATTAGAATGTGGATGATGGCTCCTGTGAGTTTGGTATCTGTTTACTTTCCATGGATTTGTAGAATTTTTCATTGTAGTATTCTAGGTTAGTAATGCATTCATCCAGATCTGCAACTTGGTGTTTGATATCATTCAGTTGCTGTTGGATTTCTCTGAGGATATGCATAATGTTATTGAGAGTTGTGAAGTTGTCCTTTTCTATTTCAGTTATTTGGAAGACTGCACTTATATATGTTTTCACTCATGGTGTTTTTGGTGATCTAGGTTTATAAATGTTACAAATTGTTGCTGTTTTTGCTGGTTTGAATTTGTCATATAGATTTCTAAACTTGGTTGCTTGGTTTTTGTTGTAAGTTTCCCATTGATGGCACCTTTCTTTGGTGGAACACTCTTTGGCTAGGTGGGAGGTTGCATCACATATTGCACAGAGCTTTGTTGAGATTGGGATAAAGGAGAGAGTTGTTTCTCTTAAGATGTATTGTGTTTGGACTGCTGTTAATAAGTCTTCTTATGTTTCAAAACTTATGACTGCAAATTTCTTGAATTTGTATCTCCTGTTTGCAGATCTGGGAATATAGCACGTGCGATCTTTGCATTGTGTGAGAATATTTTTAATATTCCATACAGTTGTGTTGGAAGGAAGATTTGTCAATTTTACTGCAATTTCATATTTTTGTTTCATTTGTTCAAGTATCTATACTGCATTATTAATTCTTACTGAGTCTCTTTTAATGAGTATGCTTCTGGTCTTGGCCAGCTTTTTCTTGTATTCTGGGTTTTCAAAAGTGATTATGGCACATAGCCATAGGTTTTGCATTTTCATAGTGATTCCTTGAATTTGGCCATATTTGAAGAAGGCCTGTTTTACTTCAATAAGTTTTGTGTTCAAGAGAATGTCCCACACTACAATGGAATTTTCCTTATTAATATCTTGACGACTAGTTTCCATGTGCAAAAGTTTGTTGTTACCCATATCGAGAAGTTCTATGGTTGTGACACAATCTGTTACATGTTGGTCTGCAAAAATAACAATAATATTCATGTTTTCTTTTTTCTCTTCGCTATGCACAGTGAATAATCCTTTGGGCAAGTTGAGAGTGAAGATAATGTGTTCTAATTTCTGGTGTATAGTTTTTCTTTTAACTAAGTGTGCTGGGATGTCAACTTTGTAATGTTTCTGGCTTATCTAATTGTTCTGTTGAATGGGGATCTTGGTCTTGGTCTGCCTTGAGGGTTGCTGGCTTCTCTATCTTTATCTTTTAAAGCTGTAAACCAGTTGAGTTCAGGGGTTTTTTTTTCTTTGGTATTCATATTCTCATCTGTATTATCAATTCTGGCTGTTGTGAGGTTGTTGTTGTTGGCTGTGTTGGTCTCTTGGTTTTCACATTGTTTGTTTGTTTCATTAGTTGTTGCAAAGATTACTCCATGAAGAGAATGATGTTGAGAATTCTTGACTCTGTTGTTGTTGGTCATCTTGTACTGATTATAGTTGTAATGGCAGTGGAGGTTTCATTTGTGGTTTGTTGATTGCTTTTGGTAATTGTGTTTATCAGTTGTGGTGTGGGTTTCTTTATTGCTATGGTTATGGGCTTCTTTGCATATAGTTGTGTTCTAGGAGTTCCTAGGTCTTTGCCTGCTCTTTTTTCATATCTTAGAGTGCGTTCAGATGTGAATAGAGTGATGCTGGAAGCTTTAGAGCCTCTATTGTAACTTGACATCTTTCTTTGACTTTCATTCTGTGAATTTCCAAAAAAGGAAATTTTTAAGAAATCTGTTGTGTACAGGAAAGAGTTTGTTTTAAAGTAAAATAAAAAATTGATTTAGATTTGTATATGATAATTTTTTTTCAATATATTGTTGTTTATATAATAAAATCATTTAAATATATAATATTGTTAATAAAATATTCAAAAAATAATTTTGTTATTAAATTTTATTGAAATTTATTTAATTTTTTTTCTCTAAATAAATTTTTTTTTAAATATTCATACTTAATATTTATAATTGCATTGTTATGATAATTTTTCTAATTTGAAATTTTATTATTGTAATTTTTTTATATTATTAATTTTAATAATATAAGTATTTTTTAAATTACTTATTTCAGTATTATAATAAATTTTTAAATTATTAATTTCAGTATTAGAATACTTATTTAAATTTTCAAATTGAATATTATAATCAAATTTAATTTTTTAATTTTAATATGTTTATAGTTTTTTAAAATTTTATTTCATTATAATGTTTTTTTTATAAAATTGAAATTTTAATATTGTGAATATCTTTTAAGTTTTAAGATCTTTTTTTAATTGTATATTATCTTTTGAATATTGAAACAAATTATTATTATTATTATTATTTTTTAATAGTAAAAGGGTATTGGATGCAAAACTTTATTAATATATATAACATATCCAGATTACATCAAACATCTTTACAAAATTGAATTTATAAATTAACATTAACCTATCTACGATGCTAACTATTTCTACACTGGATACACTTAGTGTACTTTGGATTAGTTCTAGTGCTGGATGGTTAATGCCCTTCCAGAGCTGAGATGAAGACTTGTGATTTGATGACGCTGCTGTTATGGATTGCCTATGAGTCTGTGATTTCCATTATTAGCTCAAGTAAATTTTTATTCTCTGAGATAGCTTTTGGGGAGTGAGTGCTGCTGGAGCTTTCGGTTGAAGGGGGGTTTCTTTTCCACTTGACTTCCTTTACTTCCGAAGTGTTTGCAGTTGCTAACCTTGGAATCCATATCTGTGAGTATAGTAAGGCTAGTATTTTGTTTGCCATCTTGGCGTGGCTGGTGGCGGATAGTTGTATGTCTATGTTTAACATTCTACATGCTAGTTTGTCCAGGTTAGACTTTCGGTCAAAGTCTAATTTTTGCAGATTTCTTTCGATTACTGCTAGGTTCTTCTTATTACTGTTTTTCTTTACAAGCTTAATCAAACTTGTTTTTATCTTGTTTTCTATTTGGTTGTATACTACGATATTTTTGTAGCAATCAAAGATGTGACGCTGAGTCTCTACTGCTGTAAGGCACCTGGGGCAAAGGTTATCAATATAGGTACTCGGGTATCGATCATATAGCAGTTGTCTGGATGGTAGCATTCCACTCAGCAATTTGAGTCTAAAGGCTAGCAGCGAAGAGGTATTTGCTCTATCTTTGCTGGTTAGCAGCTTGTTTGCCATGGTCAGAGTTTAGAGTACTGATGTTTTCATGTTGACTTTCCACCTGTCTTTGATTAACGAGCTCTGAGTAATATTGGTGAGTCTGTATGTCCGCTGAATTATTTTGGTCCAAACCACTGGACTGTAGCTCCAATTGTTTTTGATTTTTGGGCTGGAGATATAGCTTTCCAGCTCCACCAAATTGTCGATCCCTATGATTATGTCATTTTCTTGATGGCTTGAGATAATCGGGCTTGATTCTAGTCTCAGTTTGATGTTTTTGCGTTCGCATGTGCTGTTGATTCATTCCTTTAGAAAACTATATGAAAATTTGACTCTTTGGTTTGAGTAGCTTAGAGTAAACAAATTTAGTTTCTTTGGGAGATTAATTGCTATGTATGATTGGTCATTTGCTGCCTCCACTAACCCTATTATTCCTAAGAGAATATTAATTGGTTGTGGGTTTGTCGAATAAAGAGCTATATTAGTGTCGTGTCCTTGTATGGTAATTAATTCTTGTTTGCTCTCGACACTGAAATGTAAGAATAGTCTATTAAAGTTGATAACCTGTTTGAGGTCCTCTATGGTGTTAGTGTTGAGTAGTATTGGTAGGTCTCTACACTTATGATAGCTGATTTCTACTCTTGGATTGTTGTCCGAAGTGACATTGTACTGAAGTTGGAACCAAATTTCTTCTAGTGCATTGGCTAAGCAATATTTGTTGTTTGTTTTGTATGTCCAGAGGGACATTGCTCTGGTTGTTGGGCGGCAATTTGAGAGCTATTGACGTGGCATTGGCATTTTTTAAGAGTCTTGTTCGTTGTTATTTTGTAATGGGTTCCTTTTATTTGAGGTTGAGTACAGTCGCGATTGATCCTTGTTTTGATGAAGCTCAGCTCGTTGTTAGTGATAAAGGCCCAGAATCTGGCTCTCGTATTTGGGATGCAGATCGAGGTTCCTTTAAGGGTATCCGGGAGGTTGATTTTGGCAAACCAGGCAGGTGTAGGACCTTTGGGTGTGGAGCGAAAATGTGTGTTGAACTCGTGCCATGTTAACTTTCTGTTTGATTGAAAACTGAGTAATTCTTCTAAGAACTTGATATTTCCTCTATTCAGACCTAGTGCCTGATGTTTCAGATATTTGCTATTAAATGAGAAGTGAAGGCCGATTGATTGTTCCCCTTTGGGATGGTTATATTGACATGAGGTGGGGCAGGTGTCAATTCTATACAATTTTGAGGCTGCCACTGCCTGTGTGATCCATGTTTCTGGAAATTTCTCAGGGTGGCAAATCGGACAGAGCCAAATAGCAAGACTGGCTTGAAGGGAATTTATCTCAAGTGACATGGCTTCTTGGGTTTTTGTATTGGTGAGTTTGGCAATGAGAAGTTTTATTAACATCAAATTTTGGATGTCTGTTAGGTTTACCAAATTGAGTCTGGCTTGCGAGTAGGTGATTCTATCTGATATTGTTTTTCCTATCTTGAATTTCTCTTTGATTATGTTATTGACTCTAGTTTGGAGCTTTTGTATTTATGGCCTAGGAAGAGAGCTTGTTAAAAGGGAGTAGTTGAGTTTGCTGGAAATGATCCAGTCCAACACTTGTTTCATTATCGGTCCATTCCAATTCTGTTTGCGGCAAGCTTCTACAATCTGGTTCAGGTCCTTGATGTAAGTCTGGTTTGATATACCTCTGGCCAGATCTCCGACAAAGAAATTGCCAAGGTATCGAAGCGGGTTTTGACACTAAGAGGTCTTACTACTGTATCTGTGACTCTTAAGCCTGTGTTCCTTGCACTATTGTTGTTCGCTAAGGTAGTAATAAGCATTGTTTTGTCTGTATTGCATTTTATATTGTTGAGCGCGAGGAAAGAGCAGAAGATATCTGTAGAGTTTTGGAGATTGTTCAGAGAGTTTGCTATGAGAAGCACATCGTCCATATATGTGAGAATGCTATATGGGATTAGGTTAGGGTTAGGGTTAGGGTTGTTTTGTGTGAAAGATTTTTGAATTTTCAAAGTCAACAGGCAACGAGCTCGGTGTCGTTTGACTTGGTCTACACCAAGGAACGTCC